ATTAAGCTTACAAATTGCCATGCATACAAGGGGCTGTGAAGGCGGCCATCGATTCGAGTGAAAACATAACAATGTGCGGTTCAAGATACCCTCTAAACACAAAGCGGAGCTCATATTTGAAAAGTACGCAAGATAAGAGTGTTGGATAACGAGCTTTTTTTATCACATAATCGAAAATAGGGTATAAGAAAAGCGATATCGACCGTATAGAATAATTGTATTGCAGTTTTCGTGTGTGGAATCTACTCTCAGATGTGCCTATGTCTAGACAGCACTAACTTAAAGGTATAATAAAATAAAAAGGGTGTTAGATAACGATATTTATCGATATTATGATAGGACCTTTATCGATTTATGGGAAAGATGATCGAATGTTTGAAAGAAAACTTGATTTTGACATATGGGATCAACTATTCAAACAAATGGGTAAACATCGATTTGTATCGTTTTGAAGAAGGGTTAGTGGGAAGGAGGCAGAAGTCGAAAAATGTTGTCAAACTCCCCACTACCTGCATCAACAAAATCTAAAAAAAAATAGCAAAATTATTTATCGATTTGGGTAAAGATAACGCAGGTTCTGAAATTTTTAACAAACGATTTTCTAACTATGTACGCCAAGCCAACCAAACTATATGTACCCTGGAAATATATGTAGTCAAAATGGGGGCTATAATTAAGATGTACATACCAAATTTGAGCTCTCTAGCTTTTATAATGTCTGAGTTCATATAGTTAGGCAGTTGGACAGAAAGAACTATGTGTCTAATATGCCTAATGGACTCTGAGAAAGGTATTTCCTTTTTTTCTTTCACACATTTGCACAACTTTATTATACTCTCTCTATACTGTTTTTTAATGGGTATAGGGCAATAAAAAGGAAACGAACTTTCGACTTTAGAAAGTATTCCAATTTTCTAGCATTTTGCAGCACTTCTTTTGCTGGCAGTTGCTGTGTGCAAAAGTTTTTCCAACTTTGCCGGGAGCAAAAGTTTTGGCACAATGTGTCGTCGTTGCTCCTCGCTGGCCACGCCCACTTGTGAAGGGAACAGGGGAAGGGGAGGGTGCGGGGTGAGCACTGAGAGCGGCTACGGAAAAAGTTTTTACTGTCGCATTTGTTGGCAGCGCAACTTGGCGCACTAAAATGCAGACACACGCGCCGCTGCACACGAACATGGCCGAGTGGAGCGAGATCCTGGCAAAGATTTCCCGCTGCTTTAAACAAAATGAAATAGAAAAGAATGAAAAAACCGCACGTGTGCACCACCCAACCACCCAACCAGCAGCAAGCAGCCAGCACTTGGCTCCATTCAAAATAGAGCTGACCTTACGGCTGGCCCCTGGCCAAAACATGTGCAAAAATTCAAGTGGATGCCGTAAATTGTGAAATTTTGTATACTGTAAACTGTGTATTTTCTGAATATGCTGAAAAACTGAATGAAACTGAAAAGCGCAAAACATTTTTTATTTAATTGCTGTGGGTGTGTGTGAGCGTGTGTGTGTGAGCGTGTGTGTGTGCGCTTTTTATTCAAGTCAAAAAGTGGTTCCATGCACCCGTTGGCCACCCAATTGAGTTTCAAAGTTGCAATTAGAGCAGCTTCAGTGGGCGACAGCCACTGACCCATTGGGGCGTGGCTCTGACAGGGGGGGTGGCCATACAATGGAAACAGTTCAGACTGGACCCCATGCTGCCCCCTTCAGCCACCTGAGAACAGAAACAATGCGCATCAAAAGAAACAACTCGCAGACCATTTAACTCCAAAGCGAACATTTTATAGCGCAATCAAATGCATCGTGAGTGAAATTATAAAATAACAGAGAGAGAGAAGTAATATGAGAGAGAAAAGGAAAACGAGAAAGTGAGAGGGGAGGGGAGAGAGGCACTATAAACCTGAATGTCACTTAAAAGTAGAATTTATATAAGCATTAAAAAAGGCTTCAAAAAAGTTTAAGCTGAACCGATTCGAACCTGAAAGAGATTAATAAACAAAAACAAGCGAGAAAGAAACCGTGGAACCGGTATGATAATATGATGTAAGGTTTAGTATATGACTAATAACGGGAAACTCGTTTTAAGCCGAACCGTTTTAAATTCCAGAGCGTCAATTTATCCCAGAGAAATCCAACAGAGAGATTAGAAAACAAAAGAAGAGAGCACGAGAGAGGGAACAGTATAAAGCTGAAATAATGTTTATCTTAAGCCTAACCACTTTGAAGCCAAGAGAGAAATTAGAAATATAAAGAGTGCAATCAAGGCGAACCAGTTCATTACAAAAGAGACGCTCAATTAAGGCTTAACCCTTTAAAATGTTAACTCTCTTTAACAGAGTGGACAGCTGAAATTATGAGAGCAGCTGTATGGCTAAAACCAAAACGATTACCATATTCTGAAAATGGTTTGAATGGTGTTTGATATTTTATCATGATACGCCAACAAAAGTTGGTGATACTGCATTGTGTTGCATATAAGTTCTTTTAATACTGAACTATACTGTGCTGCATAATCAAGAAATCCCTTTAATCAAGCCTGAAATAGGTATCGCTCCTTGTTCTACTTCCTTAAGTTCTTTGAACAATGTCAAAAGTTAAAACAATTCGTTGAGTTTTACCAAGAGACGAAGCCAACCCAAAAACCAAAGCTAAAAACTCGTAATGCCCAAATGCAAATGAAAAACTCAAATTGAATTCAGTTTTGCCTTTGACTATTATGTGCACGCCTAACCCCCTATAGAAAGCGCCCCCCCCCCCCCCCCTCCTCCTATCCTACCACCGAGCGATCCATGAAAAGTGTCAAGTGTTTATCGATGGGAAGCAGGCGCCCAATGGAAACGCCAGCAGGAACGCGGGTGAGAAGGTGGCTGTGGACGTGGTTGACGACAACGTCGATGATTTCTTTACACGACATTTAATTGAGAAATAATTGAATAGGTCGTGTGAAGTGTTTGTTTGGCGTTTTGCGGGTCTTACGTAGCGCCCGGTTCGGTAAGCCCGACGCAATGAAATTAGCTTTGTCAAACGCGGCTGACATATGCACGGGTTGAGGTTGAATGGCGCGGAAAGATCTATTGCAGCGTGAAAACGACACAGCGCGATGTTAATGAAGTAGTCACAGTCTACGGAGAAAGTCACCTATGCACTAAGACCCGCCCCTCCCCACCCCACTCCTCCTCCTTCTTCCACAACGCCCTACAACCCAGCTCAGCACACAAAAAGAAATCCATGTGCGGCTGTCAAAGGCCAAAGAAACAAGTAGGAGTGCTCCAATGGGGAGTGCACGACTAGGAGATACGCTGAGCTGCCGATTAAGTTATTCTAGCTTTTTTTAAACATATCAAATCGCAGGGCTCTACCTAACAAAATATCATTTTTTCAGTTGTAGAGGAATCCCTAATCGAAGTTAACTATAAAAGAAGCTGGATACCTTTCAGCTATGTCTTAAAAAACAGATCTTTAAATCGATAATTATCGTTACTATCGAAAAAATATGATAAACTCGTAAACTGCGTAAGGTATCTAGCTCATATATGTATTTCCCGATATAACGCAGACAGACAGGCGGACTAATATAACTTGATCGATACTTTTCACATATTTTTGTCAAATATTCTTTCCTATGCCTTTTAAACACAGATGCACAAAAACATTATACCCTCTTCAATTCCCAATTTGTCAAAAGGCACTGGGTATAAAAAAGAAGTAGGAAGTCACGTCTGATTGCAATGCACTCGGCACTTGGCTTAAACCACGAATTGCGCAATCAGCCGCAAGCTTATAATTGCAGTTGCAATTTAGACTACTTATTGTAATTGAGGGAAACGGTAAAGGGATATGATGGCGAAAGGGGAGGAGTTGGATAGGAAAGCGTTTAGGAAGATCAAAAACATTTAGATATTTGCAACAGAATGATGGTGTCACCGTTAAGGATGAAAGGGAAAGAGGATAAGCAGAATCTCGTCAACACGAGCAGATGGTTCAGAATGAGGTAGAGCAGAAATGTTCAGATGTTCAAATTGTTCGTTGTCGTAAGACTAACAATTGAGCTCGGGCTAGTTAATAATAAGCTCCGGCAAATAAACTTTGTACGCGACTTAACTCAGCTGCCTCAAAACAAAACAACGAATTAAATAAATAAAGCTTTGCCAATAAAAACACTCACAAGCAAGTAGAAAAGACTACGAGTCCCGCACAGCCCGGCTTAAACAAGAGTAGCGGAGAGTAACCGACTAGGAGATACCCTGTAGACCGCACAGAGCTGCTATAGCAAACATTTTTGCAAATATCCATACATATATAAAAATAAATACACACACTTAAAAACATATCTGAGCCGCATGCTCTGAGAAATGTTTGCTTAATTAACTTCAGTAATAAATATCCCATCTTGATGAAACGGCTTCATATACCAAAGACCAAAGCTCTACCTATAATAATGGTCGTTATTTTTTTCAATTTTGCGGAGACAGGAGAAAATATTTAAAAAGTCAAATAATTTAAAGCTGGCAAAGTTTTGTCTCTAGCTTTAATGACCTCAATAACAGGATCTGAACACCTATGCGAAAAGCGATTATTTTCGATATCGTGCTAACGAACTGCGGTATGGACGCAGTTCTGTGCCCCTAGCTCCTATAGTCTCTGAGAAATAGGCACTCAAACAGGCAGACCGACGGACAGTTGGGCAGGCAGACGGACTGACAGACAAGTTCTGACCTGTTACATACAATTCCAAAAAACTAATATACCCTTTCTTTAAACATCTTCAATGGGATCAGGGTATAAAGAGTGCGATTTGCCCGAGCTGGGCTTGGATCTGGGCCTGTCCCATTACGTGCGAGGGACAGCTATTAGAATCGTGTCGAGTCGAATTCCACGAATTCTAGGTTAATGTCAATGCCAAAGCACTAATCGGAACTGGTTTTGCCTAGAGCGGGCTTATACTATATATATATAAGAGATGCGTGTCGGCGCACATAGTGCTCCATTTACCAAGTGGATGACAGTGAATGATAATGAAACAGTTCAAGCTGCATTTGCTGTGCTGCCTGCTAATCGGAGTTATATGGACTGTCCGAGCAGACGGCACGCCTAATTGGCAGCTGCCTACAGCGGAGGCAGTGCAGCACAGTCTGCAAAGCTGCCAGGCGCAAGCAGCTGGCGAGGCGGCAAACACGCTGAGATGCCTGACAAAGCAGCTGGGTCTGTGGTCGGACGTCGATGGCTTCAAGGCCAAACGCATAGCTCACATGTTTGCGGAGCGCCACCAGATGGAGGAGCTAATCGTGGTCATCGACTACTGCAACAATAGAGAGCAACGCAAGGAGCAGCCGGCACAGTGGGCCTATGCGGCCTACAAGTGTGCGACAGCAGGCAGATTTGGCCGGTGGGTCGAGGAATACATGAATAATATCAAATAAAAAAAAATTGATTTTATTCAGTGTGCACGAATTTATTTTGGATATTTTTCCAAGTGTCTGGTTAGACTAAGCTCTTAGGCCTTGACGCTGTGCTGGACCAGCTGCAGATTGGAGCGCATGAAGCACATGCCGCCGCGATAAGCCCAGGTGCAGGCATCGCTGCCCTGCGTATTGCTGTCCGCACAGGCCACAATCTTGTGATGGGTCTCATCCGTATGATCGACATGAGCACCGCCAGACAGCTGCTCATGGATCTTGTGCACATCGAAGCCATGGGTGGCATCAAAGAAACCAAACTGCTCGAAGACGCACTTCAAGTAGCAGCGACTCTTCTCCTCGTCCGCAAATTCCCATTTAATATACTTGGCCACATCCTCTTCGGTGGCGTGCACCTGCTCGGCGCACAAATGCCGATATTTGACCAGATCCTCATGCGTCTTTACCACATAGCCAGTGACATGATGAGCATGATCATGGTCATGGTCTTCATGGTCATTATGATGATGCTCATGCTCATCGGCCAGGGCCAAAGTCAAGCTCAGCAACAGTATGAAAAATTTCATGTTTGAATTTAGTTAGACGAATTGCAACTGCAATTTTTTGCTGTGCTTGCATTTGTTTTTATAGCTAACTGGGCTCGGGCGATCACCTTCTAAGGTCGCCGGCAACAAATGTGATTGACTGGCTGCATTGATTGTCTTATCGATGGGCTAAAGGTGCTAAAAAGTAATTGTCAAGGTTCAAAGTGACCAAAAACACACCTGATAATGACACATACAGACATCTCTATTTCGGTCTAGAAATAAATTTAAATTAAATATCAATTATATTTTCATTGTAAATAGTTTAATCATATAAGAATATATACTGGGGCAAGCTGTTATGCCATCTGTTAGTAAATTTATATTGGCGCCATCTAGCGATATATTTATTCGAATTGGATCCAATATGATTCAAATAAACTGAAAATACCTTCTATAGCACTGTTATCATCTGCATCTGTTAATAATGTTATGTTGGCGCCATCTAACAACAAAGCTAATGTAAAAAGGCGACATCTGGCAGTAATATAATGTAAGCGGCTTCTAGCGATAGAGCTAGTTTAACAGGACGACGTCTATTATTTAATGTTGTCAGCTATTTAGCGATATAAAGTAGTCCAATAAGAGTGCAGCTAATAATATTCAAAATAAACAGAAATCACAAATTGTGGCGCCATCTATCAATAATATAATATAGTTCTTAAGCTTAAAATCAAATAACCCTTACCGCCATCTGTCAGTAATATATTAGCGCTACCTACCGACAGAGCAATGTAATTACGGCAAGCGCCGCAAAGCTGCTTGCTTTGCACAGCGTACAAAACGTATTTTAGTATTTAAAACGTTCAAAATTTCAAGTTTAAGAAAACTCTTTAAAATTGTAGCACAGTGAAAGCGAACATCTACAGTTCCAGTTGTTTGTGTACCGCCAAGAGATTTTCGAATTAAAGTTGTAAAAATATTTTCCTGATTATTGTACAATGGAATAGAGTAAAAGTTATGTCCACAATCGGTCAAAAAACGTTGATAAATTTTTGTAGGACTTTAACGTTTTATGTTAATTAACAGCATTTGCAGTTTGCACCTACAGCTTCTTTCTCAGTAGAAAGCACTGCAGACATAATTCGTAGTATTTATTTGACTGGTCGAGAGCTCATGATAACAGACACCTGGCACACAAACAACAATAACAACAACATCATCTAATGAACTGTTACCTGCCAGATCAGGCTGCCACGGAAAGTTCAAAGACTCATTATGCCAATCAAACGGACGGCAAACGTAAAAAGGGAAAGCGAAAGTTCATGCAATAAAGAAAACGCAACAGGAGGCAAGCAGCAACTAAAACAACAACAACAACAATAACAATAACTGCAACACACGACTAACAACAATAAATTAACAGCAAACAAGAAATCTACAAATTGTTGATTGACCCCAAGAGCTGTCGGCATCTCCAGTCGCGTGTGTATCTGTGTGTGTGCGTGGGTGGGTGGGATATACGCGCAGCTGACAGGCCGACACTTATCACCTTTGCCAGTGAACGTGACTACCACAATGCCAGCCACCTAGAAGAAATGATAGACTAAATGACACCCTATAATAGAACACATAATTATAAGGCCATAATTTCTTAAACAGTTCGAAATTGATGAGCACGCATAGTTTGAACAAACACGTGCTCCAAAACAGCACACCCTTCTTTGTAGCACGCACAGCTGCAGGGTATATTAATCATGCCAGCAAAGAGCAGTTGGGGCGAAGCTGTGGGGGCAATTTAATAGCTGTTTTTGGTTCAAAGTGTGAGACGTGCGGTAACTAGTAAACAACAAAGACAACAACAGCAACAACAGCAACAACAGCAACAGCAACAACAACAACAACAACGTCAACAAAGCAAACAAATGTCAGTTCTTAGCCATTGTAATGATGAAAGTGAAACTATTTTTGTTAAGCTCATTTGTTATGGGCTAGAATAGGGGGCGTGACCTGTCCGAGAGCCGATCAATAGCTTGTCCAGACCAGTCTCTCGCACTCATTATTCTAGACTTTCGCTCAGTTAACTGCATCCAATTGATTGCGATGCCAAAGCAATTAAATCAAAGCTAATGAAAAGCCAACAAAAGGCAGCAGAGAGCATGCGCAGCGGAGCGCACAACTAACTTTTAATACCCTACTAAATCAGAGATACAAAAACAAATCTTTTTAATGTGCGTGCTTATTGATTTAACAAAAAGTTAGTGGAATACTTTAAGCTAGAAAGGAAATGAAAAACTGTGAAGAATATGATGCTTAGGTAATACAAATAAATCGAAAATATAATTATTAAAATTTTTTAATATATATATATATATTATATATTTATAATATATATATATATGAGAATATATGCTCTACAAAATAAAATAATATATTTTTTTAAAATTATGGAAATTTTAATAAAAATATATGTAGATACTCTAAAATTAAAAAATTATCGTCCCTTTATATTTTATTATATTATTAAAATAATACAAATTGCAGAATAATTCCTTCCTTATAAAGAGCATGTTGAAATTTTTAGTGAATGCTTTTTAATATAAATTAAAGTTCATATGTGCATTTAATTTATTTGCTGCCTGATTTTGTTGTTACACATGCTATGTTGAATATTCATGTCAAGCTAATAAAATGAATATAAGGAAAGGATATACGACCCATTTTAAAAGATGAATCCCCTTCGTACGAGTCTCACACAGAAGAGAAAAGAGAATTTCGAATAATTTTCTTTACGATATGCAGCTTAAGGATACTTCCTGCTGTGCATGGCAAACCGCATAAGTGAGCTGTCATAACCGAAAAGCTGGATGGCCGTAACTAGGCCAAATTCGCAAAGAAGTTCCTGCAGCGAGCCGCCGTAAAGCGCCCATTTGCGCCAGCGGCAGCGACTGCGCAGCAGCATTTGACGTCGACGTCGCTGCCGCCGTTGAAGGTATAAAAGGTAGGAGACCGCCCAGTGCTCGCTCAAAATCCAATAAGAAACGCGCGTGCGCAGCCGCCGTCAGTTGTTGTTGTGCGCCTCGTGTGATCCCATGCTAAAGAGCTGAGCCCCGTTATAGTCCGTGGTGTCCGTGGTGTCCGTGGCAAATCGTTGCATTTAGTTTTTGCATATGCAATTTATTGCAATATAATTTATAGCAACTTGTTTTTCTCAAAGTCACAACGTGCGACGTCGCGTCGGCAGCACAAATTGCGCATTTTAAAAGTTAAAATAAATAAAAAATAAAAAAAACCAACTGACAAGAAAAAACAAAAAAAGAAAACCCCGAGTGCAGTTGACGATTTATGTGTTAATTTTTTGGACATTTCTTGAGGCTTCCTGCAAGGCGAATAAGCCCAGAACACAACTTTTGCATACCAAAAAGGCAACAGACAGAGACAATGCACAACTTAAAGGTAAATGTTGACTGATTCGATTATACGCATGGGGCATACGTACTCCCGTATTTTGATATAGATTCCACGCTCCACATGATTTTAGTTTTTTCCTTTTGTATATGATTTTGTGGCCCAACACTTTCACTTTTCGTGCCAGGTTTAAGGTTACATTAGTGTCCATTTTATTGCCTTTGAACTGGTCTCTGATCTTTTAGCCATGACTCTGAGTGTGTGGCAGCTGTGGCCAACTCTGGGGGCTGACTCAGCGTCTAACATGCAAAACTGGCAATGCAAGCTAGTTAAAAATAAGCGAATGAGAGCGCATAGGTGGACCAACCACAAATTGTAAATCATTCACAAGTCAAAAGCACAACCAAAACTATCAGAACACAAAGAACACCCAATTACTTAGCGTAATTCATTAGTAAATGTATTTAAATCTACCGACTATACTTTAAGCCAAAACAATAAAAACAGCTGCAAAGCAATAAATTATTTGTCAGATACAAACATTTGCATACAAACACCAAATGAACCAAAGTAAATCTACCACGACTTGCGCTACATCTATGTTCTGGTAAGACAATCTTATGCTCTCCAGTTCTGATCTATCTTATACTCTCCAGTTCTGAACACTTTCAGACGAGGTTTGGAATTACAGACCATTACCTATATGCGCTTTCTTAGCCAAGGCTCAGAGAAATAAGTGTCATTTAAAAGTAAGATTAGTACAAATCCTTAAAATTGAAGACCCTTAAAATCTAATCAAAATGTTAGACAACTTATACAATGAGAAATTGCGTTTTTAAGTGTTTGAGTAAAAGGAAAGACTAGAATATCGTAGTAGCTAACAAGCGCTTGTACAATTCTTTCTAAAGTCAACAGCAAAATAAACACAAGACTTACATTTTCTTTGACCTACAGATTAAAAAGATTCTGATTCGCCTTAAAATGTGACCTTTGCTTCATTTCTTGCTGTAGTAAATGGATGATCAGCCTTGAAGTTTCTAGGATTATTGCCCATTAGAGGGAAGGGAGAGCCTAGGTTGGTTTGATCAAGGACTCATCTAAAATAAAAGCAACATTTTCATTAAGCAACTCAACTATAATAAGAAAGAACAACCTTAAATCAGCCGACTCGTACAAGGAGTCCACATCGTTTCAACATACCAATTTGGAGAAAAGAGCCAGACTTCATTGTAGATCAAAGATCAGCATAGCTTAGCAGCATTTCTACTCTGTAGAGTTTCTCAGTTTTCCCAATGCTTACTTTGGCACACCCACATCATAAAAAGCCGATAATCAGCTATTGGAGTCTAAGCTTTTAAGCCTAACACACAGCCAGGGCCAAGAGCGTGTGATCTTCAAAGACGAACCGCAGCAACTTGTGCAGCAGCTAACGCTCACGTTGTTGTCTTTGTTGTTGTTGTTGTTGTTATTGTTGTTGTTGTTTGAAAACAAGCTACAAAACTCTGACTTTTGGCACTTAGGATGGCCCAATTACGAGTATTGAAGTGCACTTACTTACTTCATCATGATGATCATGATAATGACGGCGATCATCATTATGATCAGCTCATGATCGGCACGAGCTGTGCAATTGTTGCTTTGTTCCGTCGTCTGTTGATTCAATTTCAAACAATTGGATTCCATTTCATAGCCGCATGAAAAGCCAAAAAGGAAAAGCGTTGAAAATTGCTCTCTGATCTTTCAATTGCTACGTTTTTGGAAAGCACCCATACATATACACAGTTACAATTCTTCTGCGCAGATCCAGATAATGCCCGGCGTGCAATCACGAGCCGCTGCGTGGGTGGAGAATGTGTTTTGTTGTCCATGGCCATAGCCAAAGGAAAGTCAAAGTGAAATGCTTGGAAAGCAAAGCCAATTACCAGCTTCAACTTCAAAAGTGGGGGAAGCCCAGCATAAATGTCTTTGGGTAATCTGAGCGCAGCCGGCGCGGATTACAATTCAGAGTGTGGGGCGTGCAAATGCAAAGATCAAGATCAACGGAAACTCGGTCACTGATCATACTCCCAGTGTGGTATGTGTTTGTGTATTCGTCACTTACAACTTCATGGGCTGGCGCATTTCCATGCCAAGTGGTCAACTCGTTTAACCGGACCTATGACAAAGCTGCCTAAGGAAAGGCTCAAAATTCCAATGCTCTAGCCCATGTCGATCGCTCGCTGGCCGTCCGGTTTGATCGGCTTCCATAGTAATCCAATTAAAGGAACAATCTACATTTCAATTCAAAACTAATGAACTGTAGTTAATTCACAACAATGGCTAACACACATGTCTATAGATTGTAGTTGTTGTTGTTGTTGTTGTTCGAGCACGTTTTGAATGCAATACTTGCTTAGAGATCGAAGCGAATCGATCTCCCAATCGAAACTCTACTCTGGCATTTGAAAGTCATGTGCGCTGACGTCGAACTTGTGGTCTTCCATATAGCTTCGGCTTCCTTGTCCGTAGTTCCCAAACTTCCGTCAAAGATTTTCGGCTAACACACAGCACAATTGTTGGCCAATGTAAACAATTCTTTGATTGATGATCGCCATGGCAATCAATTAAGCAGCGTTAAATGGTCTTGGTGACAAATCATGGACTCGCTATTGATGTATATCTTAACCAACTCTCCTGTTCCACTTATAGTCCAGTCTGCCGCTGCTGCTGTTGCTTTTGGCCTTGTCGCTGTGCATAAGCTCCTGCCATGGTGGTCGACGTCTGCGCAAGAAGCCGAAGGTCTACAATGCACTCATCACCACAGACGACAATTTGACCTCGAGTCGCGCCTATCCGGTCATTCAACCCACCATACACGAGCCAGGCTATGCGCCATTTGGGCCCTATAACCCATTCGGTTTCTACAGTCCGCCGCTGGTAAGATTCGGACAGCCACTGGTGCCAGGTCTGCCGCCCAATGAGCGGGTGAGTTTCATGATATCTGGCCACAGCTATAAATAGTTATTAATGTTTACTCCACCCAGCTGCCGTATCCACTGCCCACAGCGCCGCAATATCCGCCCGTCTATACATCCTTTGATATCAACCAGCCCAGCATTGTGCCGGCGGAAGAGCAGCCACAGCCGCAACCACAACCTGAGCTGGCGCCACAAGCTCCAGCCCAGCCAGAAGAGGCAGAGCCCAAGGAGCTTAAGACCAAGGAGCAGCTGCCGCTGCCACTCAACGAACGGGGACTGCCGCCTGTTTTGATACCACTTTCATCTCAATTTAGTGGCCAACCCATGCATCTGCCACCCTATCCATATCACCAATACCCGCTAATCTATGACCAGGCGGGCTATGTTCAACAGCGCGAGAACTTGTTGCCGCCCTACGATTACTATCCCAGCCAGGGCTATCCAACGCGCAGTCCTCCAGCTGCTGCGCCGGCAATGCAACCGGCAGAGCCGGAGGTGCAGCCCTTGCCACTGGATAGCCTCGATGCCACGCCCAGTTTTGATGACATCAAAAATGGTTCGGAGAACAAAAATAGCGATGTGCCCGATGTACCGCCGCCACCAATACCTTCCGGGCCAAAGCGCCCTAGACCAAAGGATAATTGAGGCGTGATTTTTGGCGCCGGCCCCTAACAAAATATACGCGTATTTATTACCATTTTCTTTAAGCATTTCGATTTGATGTATTTGTACGTTGTCGTTTAATAATATAATTAAATAAGCTTAGTAAGTGTTCATCAAAGATAATAAATAAATTCATAAAAAAAAAATGTCCGCGGTGAATGAACTTGGACCATTGGGAAATGGCATAGCCGAGCTGTGGACTGCTTTCTCTGAGCTAGACCCCCGGGATTTTGATTATCTGAACAATGTGGGCCTATAAATGCAGCGCTAACAGCAGGCTATGGCACAGTTTGCAGCGAGAACCTTTGCAAAATGAAGCTGACGTTTCTCTTGCTTTTGTGCTGCTGCCTTTTCAGTTTGGGTAAGTCGACAATCTTCAATTTTATGGTTCTTAAAGAATCGTTTTCTCAATAGCCTATGGCACTGATATTGTCGCCACCAAGCCGCCATTTGTGCGCAGTCGTTATAGTCTACGATGGCGTAAGACAACCACTGCCATTCCAGAGACCACAACGGGTCGTGCCGTAGAGCCTGTTACCTCGACGGAACATCCCAAGGTGGGCACCTCAACGGCCAGTCCCGACTATGATTACTATGGCAATGGCGAAGCTGAGAACATGGTGCATAAATAGCGTGCGTTATCCGGTTGACAGTATATTTTTCATTTAAACAGTATGTTATTATTTCCGAATAACAGAATAAATTATAAATATTCAAATTTAAATTTAAATTTCTGTCTTACTTCCAAGTAACTGTAACTTATAGAAGAAGAAGCAGTTAACAGCGCGCGTTAAATGATGTGAAAATGTTTGCGCTCAGCTGGATACGCAGCTTACAGGTTTTGCTTGGCAAACAACACAAATTTTATCAACATTTTCAGTGACAGTGTGCCCATATTCAATTTTATTGAATTTTTTTACTTATCAGCTGTAAGCGTTTAAAATTCATAAGGTCACACTGCTATCAGCTGTGCTCTTTCATTTCTAGCAAAATTGTAAATACTCAACCGTTGTCGTGAGCAGCGTACCTTTCCCGTTGGCCTAACAGAATACAATTGGCAAACCAGTTATTCAGAATGTTATTAACAAATAAATGTGCGCACAATATGCGAGGTTTACAAAATCTTGCAAGCCTGCTTAATAAGCGAAACAACTCTTGCTGGCTAACGACCGCAGCAACAATAAAATTAAGCGCGAGCCATTGGAGGGAAGGGGACCGACGATTGTATCGGTGAGTACAAGCTGCGATTTATGCCAAGATTTGAGAAGCTTTGATTGTGCGCAGCAGCAGCAGCAGCAACAGATATGAGAGTTCAGTTCTGTACACGACAGCAACGAGAGAAGCAGCAGCAGCGGCAGCAACTGGTGTTGGCCATTCGAGATTTTTCAGCAAACAACAACTCACAGCAACCGCAAGTGCAAAAAAACCCAAAATGGTGGTAAGTGAATATCTGGTTCAATACAAACCAATTACCAGATACTGTAACAGCCCAATTCTACAAAGCAATATCGGGGCTTAAACACGCTTATCGCTCGGGGCCACGCGAGGTCAGCTATTGGCCCCCAAGGGCAGCGAAAGCCGCAGCCACAGTCACACAATTTAACTAAATACTTGTTGCTTGAACAAATATACCCGTACACAGGCCAAGCTGACCGAACAAGAGCGCGCTGAGAAGCTGCAGCCACTGTTGGATGCAGGCTGGTGCTTGGTTGAGGGACGCGATGCCATATACAAGGAATTTCTGTTTAAGGACTTCAATCAGGCTTTTAGCTTTATGACTGGTGTTGCTCTGCTGGCTGAGAAAATGAATCATCATCCTGAATGGTTCAACGTCTACAACAAATTACAGGTCACCCTGAGTACCCACGATGTTGGCGGCCTGAGCAGCCAGGATATACGCATGGCCACGTACCTGGAGACACAGTCTAAGCTTTTGCAGTAAAACTTAAAACTAATTGATTAAATATATTCCGTTTGTATCGCATTTAAATAATTTGTTGTTAATAAGAATCCAAAAATCAGCCCAGCATGGACTTACTTAGTATCTGATAGTCCGCCTCTTGCAAAATATCTGGTGAAGTTTCATCCTTAGCATAGCCGAGCGCTTTGAAGAACATTAATGAGTTTTCATTATTATTTAAAACAGTGAGCATAAGCTTTTCCAGCTGCCAAATCTTGGCGCATGACTCAAGCGTTTGCATCATGAACTTGCCGAGACCCTTGCGCTGATATTCTGGTGCAATTTGTATTTCGTAGCTACAAATTAAGAGCGTCTATTAATTTAAAACATGTTGCAAACTTCATGTACTTACCAATATAGCACACAATCACCATCGTCCATATCGAAGCGGAACATTGTGTAGGCAACGGGTTGCTTTTGTTGATTCTGGGCCACCAGGAAACGAGCCCAGTTCTTATTAAGCTCCGATTGTTTTATTTTTGGCTGCCAGCCCATTTTCAGCTGTTTGTAAAAGGGGCCCACATTCTGTTCGGCCAGCTTAAATGTCCATTTGAGAGTCTTGGCATCCATATCGGCCTTGGCGCGGCAATATAGTTTAAACTCCTCGCCAGAACTGGACTTATAGCTATCGTAAATCCCTGGCAGTCTATCAAGTGGATTTTTTTCACGTGCCACTGCCTCTATCAACTTGTGCTTTGCGGCAGAGCTAAGTTCGTCCCGATTTGTCATTATTAATATTAAACACAATTATTTTTGTTTTATATATTTATTCTAAGAGAGCGTGTGTTGCACTAAAAAGCGGGAAGGTAGTGTTGCATATCACGCAAAATGCAGCCCTGGAAATGGCAAACTTTACCACACTGAAAATTTATAAAAAAAAAAGTAAACAACGCAATCAGTTGGGGTACTTTATATTTCAGAAATATAGGCTGCCAAGACAAAATAATATAAAAAAATCGATTAAAGAAAGGGCTCTTACAGGTAAATAGTGATCAATGGAGAAATGACTACTTTTGTGCTGTGCAGCTATATCCATATTATGCTGACGTTATCATTCGCTTTTCAGCAGCCTAAACGAAACATATATACTGTAGAGAATCCTACACACAATGTTTAAAAAATCAAAGCCCAAAGTGGAACCACCACCCACAGCGCCAACACTAGACGAAATGCTTGCAGATATTGAAACATTCGAAATTTGCCAGCCTGCTGGCAACAACGTCAGTAGCAGCGCAGCTCTGGAACACGCACTGCTTACTGAACCCGAGAATTTGACTCTGGAAACATGGTGGCAAGTTTTTGACGAATATGATCACAAAGTGAAGAAACTGGCAGCAATGGAAGGTACACTGGACGCACAACGGGAAAAACTGTTAGCCTGTAAAGTTAAGCTGGAAAAGAATGCCAAAAATCTGCGCGAGGGTATACAGAAGCAACAGACATTAATAAAGGAGGTGGTTGATTGTTGACATGTACAAATGCTCGATAGTTTAATTCACAATAATAGCAGTTTCATATATCGATAACCGATCCCATTACAATTATTGACACACACATACATAACTCATGTTATCGAGTATGTTGGTAGACAGCGCTCAGAAAGTATCGATACTTGTTACCTGCAGCCGTTTTTTATGTGGGGAGAAATAAAATAATTGTTTTTAAATTATTTGCAATAAAATGCAAGTGTTTGATTAAATAAAAAGTGAGTGTTTTGAACAGAAAATACCATCTTACTAAGATACGGATAATATAAGACACAAACATTTATTTTGGGCTTATGAATAAGCCAGGGAACAGGTTTAGGCCAGAAAAACTTGGCTGGCTTACCATTTACGCCACAGCGTTAATGGCAATACAACAGCGAGCGGAGGTCGATTGTTTTGCGTGTGTGTGCTTGTGTTTGTATATGTGTTTGCTTGTGTAGTTGTTTTAATATTTTGCCTATGAGTTAGCCAAATCCAATTACCAAAACGAAAAAGTGCAACAATTGTGTGCAAAAAAAATAACCCCCTGCGCTGGCTTATTAAACCTTACACTATGTATTTTATTTTGGGCACTAGCAACAACAGTAAGAAAATATTTACACACACTCAGCTAATAAAATGCTCACAGCAAAGGATTATTATCCAATTAAACGGTTGTGAATAGCGAAAAAGAATGCAATTCATTAAATAACCAAATAGAGTTGCGTGCGAAAAAAAAACAAGCGAATAACAGTAATTTTCACGGGCACACACAAAACAGGCGCAACGTACATGCGTATGTATGTGATGTTTATGTTTGTGTGCGTATGTGTGTGTGATTGTGTGTGTGTGCGAACAAAGTGCTAATGAGATGCTGATGCTCTGCTTCCTCTTGCCAGCTTGTTTGTTGCTTTTGCCATTTATGCAAAATATATATATGCGTACATTTTGAACAAAAGATGTACATACAAATTTTATTGTTTTGATCTGTTGCGAATTTCGCCAGCTAACGAACTCGCTGCAAAAGGTGAAAGCAAGATTTTTTTTTATTATTTTATTATTTGCTCAAGTTGATGCTGTGTAATATATTTGTATGAAGCCGTATTTATAAAAGTGCAATCTCTTTGTAAGCTGTTGAGGCTACCGTTATTGCAATAAGTCTCGATATTCTTTGCTTATTCTCTTACAACAGCTACGCGTGAGATGTCACATGCTATTTGTGTTGCGACTGTAACGGATTTTCCCACTTTGGCAATTCTTATTGGCAAACCAACAACTGCTGCAATAATGTAAGAAACGGGGGACTTACAAAGGTCAATCGAAGCCAGCAAACGCAGCCTAGAACTAGTTAGGTTTCCACACACAGACATACTAACACACATATACACACACAGTTACAGCAAGCATGGGCTGGCTGCTGGCGCTCCTGGCGTTGCTCTTGGCCATCAGCGAGCTGCTAGCAATCCCAACACCACTCAAGCTACCAGGTAAGCTCCAAGTTAGACTTTCTCCAGTTTCTGTTTACCTAACCTCCCCTTTCTGCTTAGGCTACACACATAAACTGACGCCATACATTAAGCACTGGGAGGCGGCGAACTTTGATCGCGCCGTGCTGCAGGCCGCGCAACTGCGGCACTTGGAACAGGCACGCGCACGTCGAAAACGGCAAGTTGAGCCCTCAAGTGGCTCACCTGTGGGACTAGCGCACACAATACGCCTGAATTTCTCTGCACATGACAGGTGCGTGCGTGGGCTGCAAGTCGGGTTCAACTGCAACACAACCTTTTACAATCACCAAATTTCGCTTACAGAGACTTTTTGCTGGTGCTGCGTCAGCAGCCGAATTCGGTGTTTGCGCATGACGTGGAAATCGAGAATACACTGGGACCCATCGATTACGATGTCTCACGCATTTATACAGGCAGCCTGGAGGACGATGAGGCTGCCCATGTGCAGGCGATACTCACAAGTGATAATCTGCTGGATGGCACCATTGAGACGCAAGCGGAGCACTATTATATAGAGCCAGCGCAGCGTTATTCACAGCAGCTGGCGGAGAGTGGCGTGCACAGCATAGTCTATAAGTTAAGCGATGTAAATATGCAGCACCAAAACTCATTTGCCACCGGCCTGTCCTCGCAGGCGCCCCTAAAGACACATTGCGCCAGTGAAAGACTGAGACGCAAGCGCTGGCTGCCTGAGGAGGAGGTAAGTAGACACTTCTAACAATAATATATGGATTTATCATTTTTTTGTAAACCTCAGCATGTCACAGTTCCAACTTATAACCGCAATCCGCCGCTGCCGCTGGATCTGGAGGTTCCCTACAATGATGATTTTCGTGTACTGGCCTCTGAGGAGGATCGCAGCGAGGAGGCAACTAGAACTAGAACCACAACAACAAACATGCGCAGCACAGAAAGTTTTCTGGCCACGCTGACCAAACCCACTCCCAATCGAAACATACTTGTAAATAACTATAATCCCTCCAACGTTGGCGACACCAGTCGCAGCTACAATAGCAATACCAACACCAATACCAACAGCAATAACAATAATAACGTGCGCAAACTGTACACAAAACATAAAAACATCATCGTTAGCACCTATAATCGGCCCATAGAGCCGGAGTTCGGTACACCCTATGAGGAGCCGAATGCCAATAATAGCAACAATCTGCCAAATAACTTTTTCAATGCCAATTGGACAACGCTTTCAATGAATAACAACGATCGACCTAGCCACAAGACCCACGTGGAGATTATTACCAAGAACGGCGCTACCAAGAAACCTAACATCATTGTGAATAACTATAATCCGGAGATTATTTTTGCACCCAATCCACACAACCCCAGTTTCAATAGCATGTTAATGACGAACCTTTTAAGTGGACGAGGCGATGACATCCACAACTCCCCTCGCCTGCTGTACGATCGCAAGACCACATGCATGCTTTATTTGCAGGCAGATCACACATTCTTCCAAAAGATGGGCAGCGATGAGGCCTCCATTGAGGCCATCACGCGCCACGTGCAACGGGCTAATTCCATTTACCGTAATACGGATTTCAATAACGATGGAAAACCTGACAATATTACGTTTATGATCAAGCGCATTAAGGTGCACAATATGAATGCTATGAAGGATCCTAGCTATAGGTTTCCTGGCAACTATGGTGTGGAAAAGTTCTTGGAATTATTTTCAGGTAAGCGGAGAGAGATCAACTTACTTTCTTTTGAATTTCTAACTAAAATATCGTTTCATTCTTGCTCCACAGAGGAGGATTATGATGCCTTCTGTCTGGCCTACATGTTCACCTATCGCGACTTTGAGATGGGCACACTTGGTCTGGCTTGGACAGGTGATCTTAAGAATGCGGGTGGCGTTTGCGAAAAAAACGGACACTATCGTGGCTCCCTCAAGTCCTTAAACACAGGCATTGTCACGCTTCTGAATTATGGAAAACATGTGCCGCCCGCCGTTTCACATGTGACTCTGGCCCACGAGATTGGGCACAATTTTGGCTCGCCGGTAAACAAAACTGAAATCTGTCCATTCAAATATGTAACCAGCTAATTACTTTAATTCTCCTAACGCCAGCACGATCCGGAGCAGTGCACGCCAGGCGGCGAGGATGGTAATTTTATAATGTTCGCACGCGCCACTTCTGGCGATAAGAAGAATAATAATAAATTCAGCGCTTGCTCCTTGAAATCGATTGAGCCCGTGCTGAATGCCAAGGCGCGTTCCATGAAGGGCTGCTTCACAGAACCACAGTCATCCATTTGCGGCAACGGCGTCGTTGAGCCCGGCGAGCAATGCGACTGCGGTTGGGAGGAGGATTGCAAGGACTCGTGCTGTTTTCCCATGTCCCGGCAACCGCATCTGGATGAAACGCCCTGTACGCTGACGCCGCATGCGCGTTGTAGTCCCTCTCAAGGACCTTGCTGCACCACCGATTGCAAGGTGAAATTTGGCGACAAGTGTCGCGATGATAATGGCTGCCGGGATCCCTCTTTCTGCGATGGTCGCGTGCCCCAGTGCCCCCCTTCGGTGAACAAACCCAACAAGACCATTTGCAATAAGGAGTTTGTGTGCTATATGGGCGACTGCACGGGAAGCATTTGTTTGGCCTACGGGCTGGAGTCGTGCCAATGCATACCTGGCCCGCAGGATGATCGCATCAAGTCCTGCGAGCTTTGCTGCAAACTGCCAGGAGAGGATAATCCCTGCCGCAGTTCATTTGAGTGGAACGAAGCGCCGTTCGATGTGCCCGACATGTACTCCAAGCCGGGCACACCCTGCAATGACTACAATGGGTACTTATGGCATTCAACCAATTTAAAAGTTGTCTAAACTAATATCATCTTACAGCTACTGCGATGTCTTTCAAAAATGTCGCGAGGTGGATCCGTCTGGTCCATTGGCCACATTACGCAAGTTGCTGCTATCCGAGGAGAGCATTGCCACCTTCAAGAAATGGGTGCAGCATCATTGGTACACAGTGGCTCTGGCCGCCGTTGGCGTATTTTTGTTACTGGTATGTGAAGGGAACAAGAAACTAGTTTTGTCTAAAGGCCAGTTTTTACCATCTAAAATTTTAATTTGTTCAAATTCCTCATCGTTAGATGGTAAAAATTGTTGTTTTTGGACTCTCAAACTAATTCTAATGATACCCTTGCAGGGGGTAGGTAGGTAATAAGGGAGGCAGTATCCACATCCGAGTCTATATAGCCTTCTGTCTGGCCTTATGCAGATTTAAAATTGTTTTAATGAAACTGTTTCGAATCATAATCAATATTCAATTCATTTCAATTTATAGTTTTATATCGTAAATCTTTTACATATCTGCAAGGGTATTTGATCTTCGGAACTCCGAAGTTAATTGTTATTTATTGTTGTAATCAAATTTTGTTTGACAAGTTAATGCGTGTGGTCACAAGTATGCTGAGGGATCAGTATGAGGCCAAAGCGCAGGCCGTGGGCGAGGGTGAGCCCAGTTATTAACCCGAAATTGTTCCCAGTAAAGCTCAGTCCATTGGCCATTGTTTGAAAAAGCTAACTTAAAGCACATTTAGGCTTGAATTCATGCATTCATGTCCAAATCTCCACCAGATCTTAGCTTCTAAATTTCTAATAATTTCTATTGTTCTTTCTGCAGATCCTGAGCACAAAGCTACTGGCGAAACGTTCGAATCTGAAGCTTAAGTCTGTGACAATCATACATAGCGCCACCACTGAAACGGTGCGTCTGCCGGAGAACAACAATGGCGTTATTGTGCACACGGCTGTGCGGACCAAGGTGCCGTTCAAGAAAAAGGTCCGGGGCGAGCGCAGTAAAAAGTCTGGAGCCGGCTTGGCTATAGGAGCGGCAACAGCAGCAGGAATACGCAGCAGTGTAGTAACAAAAGGCGGCGCCAATGTGGAGCCGAAGAAAGCAAGCCGAATGCAAGCGTTGACTAAAAAGAAGCTGAAAGCAAATACTGCTGAGGAGGAGCCGACCAAGAAGTCGAAAAAGATGGGCAAGCACATGAAGGAAATCATTGACTATTCGCACCGCAACAACAATATAGGCGCCGGCGATGATGCCTCAAATTTATCAACAAGCAACAATCACAGTAATACCTTTGGCAAGGTGCAAAAGTGGCTGTTGGAATCACCTATTGTGGCACAGCCGCTGTCGCACATGGAGCATAGCTCACGTGTTCGCAAGGTGATGAGCAAGTCGCAATCAACACCCGAACGACTGGTGCAAAAAGCGCCTCAAAAAACGAAGTCCATGGGCAATCTATCAAATGAGAAAGTCAAGCTTCAGGTCGTCTACAAGCCACCCTTCAAGTTCTCGCTACGACTGTCCAAGAAGCCCAAGGTGAAGACGCACGTGGTGGGCGTAAGCGCTGGCGCGCGTCCAAAGCGAGCACAGAAGGCCAACAACAACAACAACACTCGCTCAAGTGGACAGGCGGCCACGACATCCAAGGGCCCGTATACAGAGCGGAGCAAACGCACCGCCTTGCTACTGTGCAACGAAGCGGAGGACGATAATCAAATACTGACGCTCAACGAGCCAAACTATGAGACTCTAAAGCTGCCCACGCGCAGCTCTGAGCACTGCTATGAGAATGTAGAGCTGCCCGGCAGTGCAAGCGCTGAAGCCGGAGTCACATCCACAACCAAACCAGGCAGCAACAGCAGCAATAGCGGTAATAGCAAATTAGCGCCCAACTCCAATCGCGCCAGCTTGGACCCTGCACCTGTCGCTCCAACGCAGCGCAGCTCTTATCGCCGCTCCAACTCGCTGTCTGCACACAATCCGTTTGCGGTGGCGCCGCGTCGTAGTAGCAGCAGCAGCAAAGCGGGCAAGCATGAGGCGCAGCCCGCCGGTGGCTCTATAAATCTAACGCGTAACTTTGGCAGCACGCAGAATCTGATCAATCTCAGTCAGAATATGGCCAAGTCCAAGAAACGCAGCAGTCTTAATCTGAAAGCAAGTGCAGCCAAAAACGGCAAAGATCCGCCTACAGCAACAGCTACAGTAGCAACAGCAGCAGCACCATCCCAACGTCGCTCCTCTTCCAATGCGAATCTGCGCAGAAATAGTAGCACCTCCAATGCGACGCCACAGATAGCGCCGGTGCCGCCTACACGGAACACGCGTAACAGCTTCAGCAACATTCCACGAGCCAGCCTTAATGGCCAAAGCAGCACCTCCGCAGCTGCAGCGGCGACGGCGACGCCAACGACGGCGCCCAGCTTCTCGCGCCAGTCCTCTAGCAGCACAACAACAACGACGTCCAGTGGTGGTTCACCCCCACTGCCGCTGCCCCTGCAGCAGTCTGCCTCCACAAGCGCCATGGTAAGCCAACGGCAAGTGACGCAGCCGGTGCGACGCAGTCTGCACAATTTCAGAGCACGCGCGTCCAATGGGACAGCTGCAACAGCTGCACCAACAACAGCAACACTGGACAACGAGCTGCCATCGGATCTGGAGGTGGTTGTCTCTGACATTGAGAATCTGGTTAGCTAAGAGCAGCGCTGTTCGTATACATTTCAAAGCAACCAAGTGAAAGTGATAAGTCCTAAAGTTAGTTATACAAATTGTCGCATAGGTTTACATGCATATATATATATCAACTTAGATTTGTATATATATATATATATATATATATATACATACATACATATATGTACTTTACACTGCCTTAAACTTGCCGTTTCTGCTGAATATGTGAATGCCACGCCCCGCACACAACGAAACACCCCACACCCGAAACGACCACAAAAACCACATTAATGAAAAGAATGTATAATTATCTTCGGATTGCCGAAGCTCAAATACCCTTGCAGGCATATAGGAGAGTGCAATATATATTTCTAAGCATAGCCACACGCAGTTAGGGTCGTCTTAAAATCGGTATCATTGGATTCCTATAGGTTTTGCTAATATGAGCATGGTGAAGGTTGTTATTGCCAAGATCCGTATGTATATAATACAATAAAACAATACAACCGATGCTTACTTTACACCTATATAGTTGTCCTATATATGTAGTTCAAGCTTAGTTAGGATATCTATATACCGATAGCTACTATTGGCAGAATTCGACATACGTAAAGCCCGTGGCAGAAAGATGCATCCAAGTTTTGCCAAGATAGCTTTTCAATTAAGATAAAAGTTTGTATAGAAACAGACAGGAAGGCTAAATGAAACTGTTTGTTGCTACTGATCAGGAATATACATATTTAATACAGTCCTAAGATTCCCCTTCTATAGGTTAAACATTTCGTGACAAAATATTATAGTCCCTTCTGCAAGGGTGTTTCAAAACGCAAACAACGCTAGTGCTTACGGCTCCACTCCCACATACATACTTACCCACCCACAACTCGACCCCATAAAATGCTCACCCACCCAACACACCCAACACCACCGCCACCACCGCCACCGCCGAAGCCCGATGCACTCACCGCACATTGTACCTTTGACATACTAATTAACTGTATTTACTGTTGTATTGTATTCGTGATCTATAAACTATAACTTGTAACTGTACTGTTTTGTCTATACCTATGTGAATTGTGTTAAGTTGTCGAAATACGATCGTGTTATATGTGACTTCCATTTTAAAACTGTCTTAAGTTTGAAGAATACAAAATCAGCTTAAGCATAAACTATTTTTGTAATGAAAGAAAAGTGAATACAATAGACCGATCAATAGCTAGTCTATCTATCATATATCACATACCAACGAAATTCGATCGCTGTTATTGTATAGATTCCTACATAGTATTATGTTATGTGTACATCTGATATCTTATTTTTATCATATTCTTAACGCTTCAAAACAACGACCACTGTCATCTATAAACTTCGACACACAGAACAACAATACAAGGTGCTATTTTAGTAAGGATTGTAAACAAAAAAAAAAACAAACAAAAAGAGAGAAACTAACCTAAAAAATTTTTAAAATACTCTTATAAATATTTTCCAAGAAGATCAAAAATGATTATAAGATTTGTAGTTGAGATAACAGTGTAGCCAAGTGGGGTTAGCCAGGGGAAGTTGCAAATATTAAACACACATACAATTATATTAGTAACAAATATAACCAACGATAACTGTCAATAAATCAAAAGTAAAATGCATCGAAACGTAACATAGGATAAAATAGTCGCAACAGAATCAAATAAAGATCTTTAAGCAGTTTAGCAAACCCGCTCCACATTCCCGCAGTCACACCCACACACACACACACCTACACACACACAAATGCCTGCGCCATTCTTAGTAGAGTAGTGTATATAAGAAATCAAGTCGAAAGATAAATAGTTTTTATATGCAACAATAACAAATTAGAGAGCAATGAAGAACAAACACCTAAACGATATTCATACTATAGTCACGTAGCGTATCAGATCACAGAATAAAGCAAACGGCTTGCAAAAATTAAAGAAAATCCCCATTCCCCTAATAACTAGAGATCTGTAGTATAAGCTGATTGGAGTAATCCCTAGTTATATAGTAGTATATATGTATGTAAGCAATGTTTTGGAAAATTGGCATTTTTTGAATTGCGCATAGTTCTAATTTGTGAATTTGCATTTGTATGGCTGGGTACAATACTTAAAGACGGGGCGGGGCGTGCAATGAGCACTTGGGTATATTTTTATGAAATATACAACGCATATATAGATAGACATAAGCACAGCTCAAATGATCGACCCAAAAAAAGACAGTTAACGTAAACGCGTAGGCATGTTATTAAACAGACAAGTAAAAAGAAAATAAGAAGAAAAAAGTACGCGACAATCGCTTTGAAATGCTTATTAAACACAACTAAAATTAATGAAAAATCGAAATTAGTTTTAAGTTTGTCTTAACAATAAAAAACAAAAAGCTTGAGCGAATACCTATTGATAACTATTTAAATATGAAACTATACAAGGCGCAGATTCTTTTTTTTTTAACATCAAAGTATCGGCAATATCAAAAATTTTACCAAAAAAATATATTAAAAAAAAAACAAGAAAAAATGGCCAATGTTTATGTACTGTACATAATAACAAATGCAAAGAATTATTATCTAAGCTGAAAGTATTTTGAGCGTGAAAGAAAAAAGACTATTTAGCGCGAAAGGAACCATTTTTGTGTATTGTACATAAGAAATTTATTGATTTTAAACTATATATAATAATTTAGTCGTAAAACTGCAAAACGATTTTGAAATCTGTGTGTGTACCTCAATTGTAATTATTTTTGTTCGTGTATTTTACTTTGATAAGATATTGCACGCTCTATACTGATTTGATAACGACTATTTTTTATAATTTAGCTAAATGAAATATTTCCAACCCCTCGCAGAGAACCGTACCCCGTAGTTAAATAAAGAAACTTTTAAATGTTGTCAAAGAACGTATCAAGTATGAAAAGTATTTCTGTCGTCAATTAATAACTCGTAATTCGAAAGCCGAAAAGCAAAAACAGGCATAATTTAAGTACAATAATAAATATTTTGTAAGTTGCAAACAGAGAGAGCAATTGTGTGACACTTATGTTGTACTTAACACTAATGGTATGAATACAGTAATTATTTAATTTATATTAAAACATTATCATTAACAAGATTATGCGAATTGAAACTAATTTTTTGAAACTGCACACGCATTGCAATATTTTTATAATTTTCTCATTTTAAGCAAAATTTAAATAACAATAAAAAAACAAAACTAAAACTTACACAAAAGCAACACATATTTTCAATTAGCTTTTTTCTCCGCCTTCTCCAATTTTAAGGCACGTTTTGCCATGATCCAAAAATAGACGGATGGTAAGAAATGACGCAAATAGTAGGCGATCTTTGCCTGAAGATCGCTGACAATAATGTCGGGTTCCTTACGCATGATGCATTGTAAAATGCGCTCGGCCAACTTATCGGGCGACATGCCCTTGGCCGTAGTTTCATCCATTTCTGGTGAAAGAAAAGAAAATCATGACTAGCTGGTAGTTGCATGTTAATTATATTTTTACTAACTGCCATAGCTGCTGCCTGCCCCGGTCAAGGCGTTCATCGAGAGCTGTGTGCGTATGTAGCCAGGACTGACGCAGGAGACGTACATCTTTTTATTGGCCACCTCAGCACGGAGAGAATCGGCGAACGCCTGCAGTGCATGCTTGGAGGCCGAATAGGCTGCACGTTGGGGTATCGCAAACTTTCCTTGCACAGAGCTAATGAAGCATATATGACCACTTTGACGCTTTACCATTGACGGCAAAAGCGCTGAGTGGATACAGATAACAGTTAGGCCATGAACTATATCGCAAATTGTGCTATTAGCAAACCTTTTGTCAAAGCCACAGTTCCAAAGTAATTAACAACCATGACCTTAAGATCGACATCGACAGATGTTGAGGCAACATCGGCACGCACGCTGATGCCCCCATTGTTAATCAGGATATCGACTTGGTTGTACACCGCCAAGGCGCGACTAACGAAATCTGGTATCGAGTTTAGTTCGGCCAGATCCAAAGCCAGAACAGTGGGCGGATATGCGGGATCCTGAAAGCAGCTATATATTATTAACAACGTTTTTATGGAACACGTGTGTATTCTTACCACGTCCAACGCCAGTAGATCCGATTTTACGCGTTCCAGTTCCTGGACACGACGAGCAGCCAAGATTACCTTACAGCCTGCTCTATAGAAGACATGTGCAAGGGACTCGCCCAGACCAGAGCTGGCGCCCGTTATAAGAACAACCTAAAGGGGGTAAACAAGTTATAATAAAGCAGTTCTTATATTTATTTATGCTTTTTCAACCTTGCCGGGCAGCTGGTTGCGGTATTTCTGGGCGCGAAAGCGTTGCCACAAGTTGATTATGGCCAGAGGCAATGCTACCGGCATTAGAATGCTACCAAGCACCCAGTAAAGCACATTCCAATCACTGCTGGGCGCGCATTTTTCTACTTCATGTAACTTCATTATGAACTCCTTGCAGCACGAAGAACTTTGCACTATTGCAAACAGAAAATACAAAAACAAATTCAGTAATACCATTCACATTTGATGCTCGTTTTGTTGTTGTAACAGCCATGCACAGCTCATATTTGTAAAATGCCATTCACATTGGAAGTTGGTCTTAGCTTGTGAACAGCATTTCGCGTGTTACCGTAGCAGTGTGAGTGTCACAATGCACAGCTGATATATGTTACGTTGGGTTTTTTGGTGGCCCGCCTCCACTTAATAATTGTTATTTTATTTTAAAAAATATGTTAAAATGCAAAGCCTGTTGAGACAAAGTCATCGACTAAGTTGCTGCCTACCAGCAGCACAAATTCACACCACAGCCGTGCAGCGCACTTTTTGGGAGCGAGAAAAGAAATCAGGCTACAAAACAAAACTGCCAGAGCCCTCGAAAAAGCAGCTCATAATAGATGGATTACGAGATTTAAAAAAAGAGATCAAACTGTGGCGCCAGGAAGTTAAGGAACAGCTGGAAAGCGATCCCATACTGGTATTTCGACCCGGTGAAACGGATATAGTATTCGATTTCAAAGCGCCGGACGTACTCGACAAGTGGACGGTGACAACAGATGCGGATCATGGAGAAGGTAGAAGCAGCGCCACATTAGAGTTAAGCGCAGCGGGCGCGGGACTCTTTCACGGCGAGGTAAACTCGCAACACACCAAGGATGGTATTATCAAACGCACCGGCTATGCAAATATACGCACTAAGCGTGTACGGGTTAGTATACGGTTAAGCATAACAAAATACAAGATTCGATTATAATTATATATCTATTGCCTACCAGAAATCATTTAAGCGCGAAGCCACATACGACTGGACGCAGTACAACATGCTGGTAATGAAGGTGCGAGGTGACGGACGCAGCTATCTAATTAATTTGCACACAGAGGGCTATTTTGATCTGATGTGGAATGATATCTATCACTATGTGCTTTATACACGCGGCGGACCGCACTGGCAAATAGCCAAAATACCCTTCTCGAAGTTCTTTCTATCATCAAAGGGTCGCGTACAGGATCGTCAGAGTGCCATACAGTTAAATTGTGTAACGCATTTTGGGTTCTCTGTGGCAGCCAAAAAGGGCATGGATGGGCCTTTCGGCTTGGAAATCGATTATGTGGGATTAGAGTATGATCCCAGCCATCGCGAAGAATTTGCCTACGAAATGTACAAAACACCCAAGTATATTGTAGCTACATAAAGAACAAATGTTCCTTAGTTGTAGAGTAGTAATACGAGGGCGTTAAAAATAAATGCACGTTTGTTTTAACCGTTCACTCTCTCTCTCTCTCGTTTTTGGTCTGCTCTCCTGAATCAGCTGTTTAAATGTTTACAATTGCTCAGCGCTCAGGGTCAGTGGTTTTTGTTGTCTGTTGAAATACACAACTGGTACGGCAATTTGCAATTCGCTTTTACATTTCGAAAGGTGCCCCGATTTTAACAGTTGCTATTGCATTACAGCCAATTAGAGCCGCGCGAGCAGCAGCGCTCGCAATTTTCTTTCGCACCGCTCCGCTCTTGTCAAATGCCGCCTCAGTCTCACTCTAACTCTTGTTCCTAATAGTTGTTGATAAAAACAGCGGAAAAAACTTCCGCATTGCGTGGGAGCTGCTCTAGTTTTTACCATTTATCATAAGTAAATATTTGATAAAACAAAAAAAATGGTGAGTATTTTTAGCATTTGGGAGAAACTGCCAGTAAGAAGAAGCGCGAAGCCAGCAACAGCCGACAATGTGACCGTGTAGCGGACATTCACTCACCAGGCCAGCCCGGCGGGTGTGACCTTGAATGGGCTTGCTAATATAATCCTGTTCGTGGCAAAAAACAATCCCAAATCAATAACAACTTTGAACAGTTGTGCACAGGGTGCCGCACTTTAAATACGCTTGCAGACATAATTATAACAGATGTGCCGATTCTCCCTATACAGTAGTCCGACATTAAGATTTTGCTCATATTTTAGAAGTAGAGAAAAGGTTGTAGATGCCAAGTTCCATAGTTAACTTGAAAGTTAAACTGAACTTTTTACTTATGATTCCCACTGGAATATACATATAATGCAAAAGACAAAAATAGTTCCTACTGCAAAATTTGGCTCAACAATATGGCCTTAATGCCTTCTTCAGTCGTGGCGCATTACGTGATTTAGAGAATATACCCTGTGCAAGTGTATTTAAAAGACTACGCATTTTACCGGTTTGCGCTGACGTTTGGAAAACATGTTACCAAAGCATAAAAAAAACCAGTCCAGCAGCCAACGAAAGCGATAGCGCTGCATGAAACCAGTTGCCAGATACCATTCCTGCTAGCGATTTCAGTTGATCGGCTGCCTAGCTGTTGTCTGTGCTCCGACTGCGCCGCATTCTGGCTGTCAACCTTATCAATTGCTGACGTTGGCCTTTTTCGTAGACTTCGAAAATGGTGCAATATACGGTAGAAAATAATCAAATGCAATTAAATCCAACATGCTAATTAATGCTCTCTCGTTAACGCACTGATTGCAGCAGGAAACGTATCTCTACGATCCGAGCGTGTTGCTCAAGCTCGACTTTCATCGCAGCCCAGCCAAATTTCAGCCGTTCATCTCTGCTGCCAATCCAGGTGAGACGTGGCTGCAGGTGCGTCCGCTGAAGGATACGGACTATGATCGCGGATTTCTGCAGCTGCTGTCACAGCTTACGCATGTGGGCAATGTAACACGCACACAATTTCTGAGTATGTGTCGATCCGCATAAATAGTGTTTAGAAGCTCATGATTCTCTCAATTTGCAGCACGCTTCTCGCAGATGAAGGCCAGCGGCGATTACTATGTGACAGTCATTGAGGATACGCGCAAGGGCGAGATTATTGGTGCCGCCTCGCTCATCATTGAGCGCAAGTTTATACACAATTGCTCAGTGGTAGGTTAAGGGTTAATATACGTCATCCATTAAATCTCATATCACTCATGTTTGCAGCGCGGACGCCTAGAGGATGTGGTAGTCAATGACACCTATCGCGGCAAGCAGCTGGGCAAGCTGTAAGTTGGCCAGCACAACAAAAATATTTTCTCTTAATCTATCTGATCTTTCACAACAGCATTGTGGTCACAGTGTCGCTGCTGGCCGAGCAGCTGGGCTGCTATAAAATGTCGCTCGACTGCAAGGATAAGCTCATTAAGTTCTATGAGACTTTGGGCTATGTGCTTGTACCCGGCAACTCCAATTCTATGACCATACGCTACGATGAGGATGCGTCGGCGTTGAAACGTAACACCACCTCCACGGCTGTCACTGGCGATGCCTGCCAAACTGTGAGCCTCGATTTTGCCTCTTGACAATTAGCCGCCAACGCTGCTCCAAAATCCAAGCTTTAGATCATCCAATCTATCTAAAGCAACTGCGCGAGGCGCAATGTAAAACCAATAACAAATGGATTTTTGGCCTAAAAATCAACCAATTGTTGCATTTATTAAAAACAAAAACTCTTGCAAAAACATTTCATTGCGCTTGGCGCATGGATTTTTGGACAGCGCTGGCAGGCGGTGGTGTCTTTGTGGTGCGCTCCATAAAGACATACAATTAGTTAGTATGTATGGCTAAGGCAACCAGCATTTGGTTGTGCTCTATGTTTTTAATTCTTACAGAACTCACAATTTTATAACTTTTTCTCTCCCTTCTGCTACTGAATGTGCGGCGGCGCGCCCATTTTAAATAAGTAAGGTTGTTGTTATAATGCCCTTCAAGAGCACGTTCATCAAGTAGACATAATTTTCTAAAAATATAAATATCTAAAAAGATAAATATCTAAAAAAATACATATATTATACAGTTATTAAGAATTAACAATACCAACAAGATTTTATTTACAGTTTCTTTTTGAATGGATGGGGCGCACGTACTTCTCGAATTTTAAATTCTCAAAACAAATGTTTCTCTAATTTTGGCATCACATCTGGACTCGCAGCCAGTCCAGTTGCTATCAGTTTAGGCATAAGCGTAGGGCTCCTCTGGGTGTCAGGAGAATGCACATAAATGACCACATTTTGGACATTTAGAGTGCTTTGCAAAGTATTGCTGCAAATGCTCGATATGGCCGCCATGGGAGCAGCCCTGACACCAGGCATAGACGCCACGCACAATCAGACCACAGACACAGCACTTGGCCGACTGCATGGACTTGCATTTGTCACAGTACCAGCCCACATTTCCGCCCAACGGTCGACCACATTCACCGCAATTGGTGTGCATAACTGTCGAGTGTTGATTTAATTGGCGCACAGAGCGCACCCAGGCACGATTGATCACCTCACAGGCCTCGTTCCACAGTTCATAGCGATGCAGCTGATCCACATAGGTGTGAAACCAGTGTTCCTATTGCGAGAGAATCAAACGTGAAGTATAATTCCAAATTCGGATGCTTCATAAAGACACTAACCACCACGGCATCCTCAATGGGCAGCATCTGGCGAGCTTCGCCCATAACAATGAGTATAGTCAAAGCGGTTTGCACATCGCCCACATCATTCTGCAGCATCAGCGCATCTGCCACAAATTGATGTGGCTCCCACATGGGTATGGGCGGTACATGACTGACCTTCAATATACTGGGCACATGTGGTGGCTAAGAAATGTGTGGAAGATATATATTTTTGTAAGCCAATATTTCTATGTAACAAATCGTTCCACTCACTGGCGACTTTTCATGTTCCGTTGCCTTCAGATCTAGCTGTGGTCGGGCCGCTTGCACATCATGGTGCAGCGCCGTATCCGGAAATGCCACCGCTTTTGTTACGTCCGCGGGTCCAACATAAATGAACCCATTGCGCAATAGCTCAAAGTTATCAAACGTAATCTCGCTAATGATTTGCGTCTCGGAGAGTATCACCGAACTAGTTGGTGGCGGATGTTGTTTTCCACCGCCGCCAAGCTCATCGCCATCCTCACTAGCCTCGGCAGCTTCATGCTGGCTCTCTTGACTATTCCCATTCAGTTCCTGACCCTGCTCGTGTGGCTGGCTCCAATCGCTAGCTACTTGTGTGGCACGACGCGAGCTCATGGGATTTTTTTGGTTGGAGAACGAGGAGCGATGCTCGAAGGGCGGCTCAAAGTGTGTAGTGCCGTAGAAAAGCTTGATGAAGTTCCACAGGGTGGTGGCCTGGAGAAAAAAAATATGTATTAATATAAACGTAGCTATTTTATACCCTTTGCGAAGGTATTATATGTTATAATTATCCGTAAATTAAGCATTGTAGCAAAGAGTTTTAAATGTTCGGCACTCTTACATTATGTTTTCCGTATTTCCTGGAGACATCCGCATTGTGCTCGCACAGCTCGGCAAGCTTCTTGCCGCTTAGCTGCAACTCCCGAGCGCAGCCAATGAAGACCTCGTGCACGCGCAGTTCCGTGGTAGTGTCGTGTGCGGGAAATTCAGTGCCTGAGGCCATGTTCTGTGAAATTTTAAGATGAAGCTATAAATGTTTAAATATTTGATTTTTTTTAGATTACCGTATTCTTGAGCATAAACATGTACATCTTGGAATGATCCAGATGAAATTGCATATTGCCAGGAACATTCGATTTGCGGCGACTTCTACGGGATTAGATGCATGAGCAGGCTATTGAAACTACAGAAAACTTTATGACTTACATAAAGTTGGTGCTTTTAGTATTGGATACACCACTTGTCTTTGCTGTATATTCCTTAATTTTGTTGGCAAAGGATATATCTCCATGCCTGCCCAAGCTGGCACCCTGCGCATTCGCTTTCAGGGCCGGCCGCGTGGCATCCTTAAATGCATGCTTATAAAGCCTGGAATCCTTACTAGTGGAAAGCAGACAATGTGAATCGCTTCCCTGCCACGCAATGTCCGTGGTGACGTTTGTATGCTCATTGAAGGAGGCAAAGGGTATAAAGGGGCGACGTATATCCCACACATGCACGCTATAGTCCACGACCAGGGCACAGCTAGCTATGTGATAACTGCCGATGAGGATAAGATGAGAGTGATAACCGGATTTGTCCAGTTTAATTTAAATACATAAAATTGCAAATATAAATGACTTACGTGCGCTCCGGTCGCCATTTGACGCGACCAACAACAGCTATCGTATGAATGGTGTACTCTAAGCTGGCTCGTCCGTCCATGTTCCACACCTTTATCTGCTTGTCCCGGCTGCCAGTAGCCAACCAATTGCGTGTGGGATGCCAATCGCAGGTATAGATGGGTCCGCTGTGTGCCGTGAACTGTACCATGCACTTGTCCCACTTGCGCATATCCCAGAGCTGAACGGTGCCATTTTCCGACACGGCGGAAAACACATTTGGTGAGTGAGGTGAGAACTTGAGATCGCGCACAGATTCCGAGTTGCTAAAGTATGTGTTCACGGACGTATCGGAGCGTATGTCAAAGCACTTGATGGTGCCATCCTGTGAGCCGGAGATCAGTATATTTGGCTCCGTACTGTGAAATGTAACTGTGTGAGCAGTGCGCTCGTGCTCATGGTAGACCAGCAACTGCTTTTGTCGGCCAAACTTGGACAGATCCCAAACAGACACAACGCCATTTGTGGCAGCCGTGGCTAGTATATTGCTATCTAATGTACTCCACGCAACATCATTAGAAGAATAGCTGAGATTTTGGTTTTTACCACGCATATTGCACACCTCCGTGAAGCCATCGCTCTCAATCTCATAGACCTTAAGCACTGGAAGGAAATATTTGGATCATTTCGCATCTCAAGAGTGTGAGAGCTGTGCTTACAGCTACGCCCGGCAACTGCAATCTGATTATGATCCTTGTTTAAAGCCAGGGCATTGGCATGCCCCTCCGAGCAGATACGTAGCGATACTGTGGAAGGATCTGAATCCTCTGACGTATCCGGCATTTTGCTATAATTTAAAATCGTTTATGAAACGCGAACTCTTTTTTCTCTTTGGCCTCTAACGCAAAACAATAACATTGAAATTAACATCAACATAAGCATTGCTGCACTGTTATTAACAGAGATAATAACATAACTTTACAATAAACTAGCTTTTCTAATTAGGTAAAGCTCATATTAAATATGCTGCTTATATTAAAAATTAATAATAATTTAAATACCCATTACTTTATATTATAATTATATTATTATTGTTATGATACTTTAAACTAATGAGCTTATCATTTAGCTCCTCATCGAACGGGTGCTCCACCGATGTATTTAAAATCTTCAGCAACAATGGCAACTCTGTGTTATCATCAATCGACAAAAACAGATGGCTGCTGGCTTTGACGAAATTATTGTTCCATTAACATTTTTAAAATACACACATATCAAATGCCGGATATTAAAATAACACCATTGGGCGCCGGTCAGGATGTGGGCCGCAGCTGTCTGTTACTTTCGATGGGCGGGAAAAACATAATGCTCGATTGTGGCATGCACATGGGCTACAACGATGAAAGACGCTTTCCGGATTTCTCGTACATCGTGCCGGAAGGACCCATTACGAGCCACATTGATTGTGTCATCATATCGCACTTTCATCTGGGTGAGTTCCAAATAATAACTATCAAATACCTAAGGGCCTTCTAATTACTGCCATATATGTGTAGATCACTGCGGCGCTCTGCCCTATATGTCGGAGATAGTGGGCTATACGGGGCCCATATACATGACTCATCCGACCAAGGCTATAGCACCCATTCTGCTCGAGGATATGCGAAAGGTGGCCGTTGAGCGGAAGGGCGAGTCGAATTTCTTTACGACGCAAATGATCAAGGATTGCATGAAGAAGGTAATACCCGTAACACTGCACCAGAGCATGATGGTGGACACAGATCTAGAGATCAAGGCCTACTATGCGGGCCATGTACTGGGCGCTGCAATGTTTTGGATCAAGGTTGGCTCACAGAGTGTTGTATACACCGGTGATTATAACATGACACCGGATCGGCATTTGGGTGCTGCCTGGATTGACAAATGCCGGCCAGATTTGCTCATAACTGAGAGCACCTACGCGACAACAATACGAGATTCCAAGCGCTGCAGAGAACGAGATTTCCTAAAGAAAGTCCACGAATGTGTTTCAAAAGGTGGAAAAGTTCTGATACCAGTCTTTGCTCTCGGGCGAGCTCAGGAACTTTGCATATTGTTGGAAACGTATTGGGAACGCATGAACCTCAAGTATCCGATATACTTTGCACTGGGTCTGACCGAAAAGGCGAATACCTACTATAAAATGTTTATAACCTGGACAAATCAGAAAATCCGCAAGACATTCGTGCATCGCAACATGTTTGATTTTAAACATATAAAACCCTTCGATAAGGCTTACATAGACAATCCAGGTGCGATGGTTGTATTTGCCACACCTGGCATGCTGCACGCCGGACTCTCGCTGCAAATCTTCAAGAAATGGGCGCCCAACGAGAACAATATGGTAATAATGCCCGGCTATTGTGTCCAGGGCACTGTTGGAAACAAAATTCTGGGTGGTGCCAAAAAAGTCGAATTCGAGAACCGTCAGGTGGTCGAGGTCAAAATGGCCGTCGAGTACATGAGCTTTTCAGCGCATGCCGATGCCAAGGGTAATAAATTACATAAGTTTCCCAATAGCCATAATTCTAAATTTATATTCCTTTCAGGCATTATGCAGCTCATCCAGAACTGTGAGCCAAAGCACGTAATGCTTGTGCACGGCGAGGCGGAGAAAATGAAATTCCTGCGCGCTAAAATACGAGATGAGTTCAATTTGGAAACATACATGCCAGCCAATGGTGAAACATGTGTAATTTCTACTCCCGTCAAAATACCCGTAGATGCCTCCATTTCATTACTGAAAGCTGAGGCTCGTTCCTATAATGCCCAGCCGCCAGATCCAAAGCGCCGACGTCTCATACATGGCGTCCTCGTGATGAAGGACAATCGCATTATGCTCCAAAATCTGACGGATGCACTCAAAGAGATTGGCATCAATCGGCATGTTATGCGTTTCACGTCAAAGGTAAAAATGGATGATCCGGGGCCAAAGTTGCGAACCAGCGAAAAGCTCAAAGCGCTGTTGGAAGAGAAGCTGACCGGTTGGACGGTGACAATGCAGGAGAGCGGTATCATAACCGTTGAGAGCGTAGAAATCAATGTGGAAGAGGACGAAAAGGATCCCAAACAAAAGACTATACTGATCACTTGGACTAACCAAGATGAAGATATTGGCGCCTATATACTGAATGTCCTGCAGAATATGTGTTAGCACCACAAGAAATAATTCAGGGAAGCAACAGCGGCCAGTTTCGATATGGCCTTAACGTGTCCGGCACGATTCCATAGATGTTAAGTACAAAGTTTTGATTGTAATTCTGGTTTTTTGAAGACATACTAAAATACATTTCTTAACTTTTTCCCAAACAATAATCAAGCGCAGTGATCAGTGCCTGATTTCCGAAATTTCCGACTCGCGATATGGAAAGTTAAATGTAAATCACTAAAAAAACTCGTTGTTTCCGGCAAAAACGAATTTTGAAACTTTTTCCAAGCTTAACTAAATTCGAAAAATTCGTTCCACGCTATTTATTTCGGTTTTATCTCAGATAATTATATGTTTTAAATCATTTAATACGCAGCTTCTGGCGTCTTCGAATCGTAATCTTTTATAATTAGGCTTGGATGAAATCGTTGAGGCTACAGCTGCGACTCGAACTGGAGTGTGTGTTTCGAGGACACTTCTTATGAAAGGGCAGCGGCACCGGAGATGATTTCAATCAGCTCGCGTGTGATGACAGCCTGTCGGGTGCGGTTGAATGTGAGAGTCAGTTTCTCAATCATTTCACCAGCGTTCTTCGAGGCGTTGTCCATGGCAGTCATACGGGACGATTGCTCAGAGCAAGCGCCCTCCTTCATGGTGTAGAAGATGAGCGAGGCCAGTGAGAACTCCAGATAGCTCTTGATGACATCGCTATCGAGCGAATCGTAAACGGCCAGCTTCTCCGACTTCTCCACAGTGGCGCCACTGTAGATGGGCAATGAGGTGCACTGGTACGAGACCACAGACTTGAATCTGTTGTACACGATCTTGCCCTCGGTGTACTCGTAGCCAGTCGACAAGACTTCATGCGCAATCTTGGAGGCATCCAGGAAGGTGGGTGGCAGACGGCCCACTTCGTTGGCCACCATTAGGATGTTCTTGCCATACAGACGAGACAGAATGGCACGCGACTTGTCGCCAACGCAGAACACCATGGTGTTCGAACTCTCCTTTTGTAGTTCACCACGGATTGTACGCGCAACGCCGGTGTGCACGGCACCACAGAGGCCACGATCCGATGTCACGGCAATCAGAAGCTTCTTGGGCTCAGCGGCGGCATCAGCCTGGATTTCGGTTTTCTCAAAGAATTGTTGAGCACCAACACCGTAGGGACGCGCTGCCTTTAAATCACGCTCGGCACGGGAGTATTTGGCCGCGGACACCATCTTCATTGATTGCGTAATTTTTTGGATGTTCTTCACGGATTTGAGGCGCATCGAAATATGCTTCAATGTGGCCATGCCACGTTGCTGCTGGGCCACAATGGTGGCTTCAACAGCCAATGGCAGCAAAAGCGCAGTACGTTGCATCATCATCCTGTGAGCTGTTGAAGTTCCTGCACAAGAAATTAGCACAAAATATGTATGAACGTACAGCGAAAATTCACCTGCGTGAAGTTGGCAGCGAGACGAATGTTATAACACAGGGCGGTGTTGCCAGATTAGACAACTGTCAGGTGGGCACTGTGAATGTTAGCAGTCGCTGGGAATGGCAAGCGGCTAGTACTTGAGTGCTTGAATGAATTAATCAAAATTTCAAACACACCGTACTTTCTTGTAGTTATAATTATATTTTCTTTAAGTTTATAAATATGAATTTGTTTTAATCGGTACATGGTAATTAGTCAATCGATTGCATATACGAAGTCAGCTGCTCTACCATTCGATTGTGCACCCCTAGTTCGCGTGTCATCACTAAAGCAACCAAAAGCAAGAGGAAGCAAAAAGCTGACGTACTCGGGAAAAGTTTAGAATTAATTAAGCAATATAATACTTATTAGGCAAAACGCTGTAGTTTATAATGTAACATAGTGCAACAACAAACGCGTTAGTCTTTAATCTTGCATTAAGCCCAAATACCAAACGATTGTAAAAAAGTATGTTGGAAAATTGTTGCTGCTGTGCATAGGAAACCGAACAACAGAGAGTAGAAGAGCAAGTGTGTTGGCCAGCCAAATTGTTGATGAAATTCATATATATGTAGATGATACTTCAGCCTTAATATCCGAAACCCTAACAGCTGGCACTAAACAAAAGGAATACAATAAATGCAAACGGCTGAAAAGTACGTAGCAGGCAGTGGTGGTGGTGGTGTTTGTGGTGGTGTACACGCATTAACGTTAACATCTCTCTATCTCTCTTGGCAGCGCCTCTCTTCTACTGCCTTAAACAATAGTCAACACAGCAACACAGACAGCAACAGCTGTGTGTGTGCGCGCGTGTGTGTACGTGCGTGTGCGGGTGTGTGTGTGTGTGTGTGTGTTGTCGTATTTTGTGTGTGTCCGGACGTAACAAAATATTGAGCCGTCGAGCAAAACACATGATGTGGTCGTTCTTTTCGCGCGACTCCTCCAAAGACTTTCCATATGACATTGGCGAACCCGTTGCTGGTTTTGACAATTATTCCATATGGACACTGCACAAGGCCAAGCGCAAGGGCACCCTCGAGGAGGTCTCTGTCTTTGTCTATGACATACGCAGCGGCTCCGATACGAAATGTGAGCTGGCCAAGGCGGCGCTGAAACGCCTCAAAACGTTGCGTCATCCGAGCATACTACAATATCTGGACTCACTGGAAACGGATAAAATGCTTTATGTGGCCACCGAGGCGGTGGATCCACTGGGCACATATTTTACCAAACTTGCCACAGACAATGTACAGAAAGGCCTCTATTTAGCCTGGGGCATATTTCAAATCACGGCAAGCCAATTAAAGTCCCTATTATTATATGCATATATAATTCATTTCTCTATTACAGCGTGCTTTATCATTTCTCAATAACGATGGTAATTTGCGGCACAACAATGTTTCTGCTTGGTCGGTTTTTGTCAATGCCTCCGGCGAATGGAAGTTAGGCAGCCTGGAGTATGTCGCTGCCGCTGATGGTAATCCCTTGCCGCCTGTGAAAATACCTGTCACGCTGGAGGTATATGATGCGCCGGAGAAGAATGATCAGAGCAAGCTCAAGGCAGCCACCAAGTGGTATACACTGCATACACTTTACACATCCCTTCTTAACCCATAATTTCTCTTTCCTCAGTTCCGTGGACATGTGGGGCCTCGGTTGTCTCGTTTGGGAGGCCTTCAACGGCGTGTTAAAGCAGCGGTCCAATCTCAAGGATATTGAACACATACCCAAATCGTTACAATCGCTTTATTGTGAACTGGTTGGCGCATCGCCTTCGAATCGACCCAATCCGGCGGATATTATTACGCGTTGTCGTAAACCAGGCGGCTTCTTTAAGAATGATTTGGTGGACACGCTGCTCTTTCTCGAAGAAATCCAGATTAAAGACAAGGCGGAAAAGAATCGTTTCTTTAGCGGCCTGACCACGCATCTGGAGAGCTTTCCGGATAATGTTTGTAAACACAAAATACTTCCACAGCTGATAACCGCTTACGAATATGGAGATGCTGGCTCTGCGGTGTTGGCGCCGATGTTTAAGGTGCATTATCTGATATTAAACTTTGTTTAAGCCCAAACTAACAATTACTTTTACACTTAGCTGGGCAAACTGCTGGATGAGCAGGAATATCAGAAACGTATTGTGCCCTGCGTGGTAAAGCTCTTTGCTTCGACGGATCGCGTGACCCGTTCACGTCTGTTGCAGCAATTGGATCTGTTTATTGCACACCTGCAGCCACCGGTGGTCAATGATCAGATATTTCCACAAGTGGCGCATGGCTTCCTGGACACAAATGCCACCATACGAGAGCAGACGGTTAAGTCCATTATTCATTTGGCGCCCAAGCTGAACTACAACAATCTCAACGTAGAGGTGCTGCGACATTTTGCGCGTTTACAGGCGCGCGATGATCAGGGTGGCATACGCACCAATACAACAGTATGCTTGGGCAAGATTGCGCCACATCTGCATCCGCAGGTGCGTCAGCGTGTCCTCGTCTCGGCCTTTATACGTGCCATGCGTGATCCCTTTCCGCCGGCTCGTGTTGCTGGCGTCCTCGCGCTCGCAGCCACACAGCAATATTTTTTGCTTAGTGAGGTGGCCAATCGTGTCTTACCATCCTTGTGTTCGCTGACTGTTGATCCAGAAAAAACAGTGCGCGATCCGGCCTTTAAAACAATACGTGGTTTTCTGGGAAAACTGGAGAAGGTCTCCGAAGATCCCAGTCTGCGCGAGACAATGGGTAGGCTGGGAATGCGTAATAAATTGAAATGAAAATCTATAGTTTTCCATTACAGAAGCGGATGTCCATACCGCCACGCCTTCGATCGGTAATGCGGCTGCCACCTGGGCGGGCTGGGCAGTCACAGCCGTTACAGCCAAGTTCTATCGCAGCCAAAGCGATTCATCCAGACCCAGACCGCCATTAACAGGTCGCAATCTATCAAAGCCAGCTTCGTTGGGTAAGTTTTAATTAATATAGAAGCGGGTAAAATGTAATGTATTAATTTTTTTTACAGAGCAACCCTCGAGCAGCAGCCTGTCGACCACTACAAGTAGCGTTACCTCCATGACCTCCTTGGAGCATGAAAGCAACGATACATCCGCCTCTGCCTCCGACTATGGCAACAACGATTGGGACAATGAAAACTGGGGTGAAATGGATGTAAGCTTGATTTCCAAATACCAAACAGTAGTTGTATTATGTGTATATTGTAGACCTCCCAGGATCCCAGCAGTCCGCTGGCAGCCAGCTCCAACAATGGTCAACTAGTGGCTGCCAATGCGCTGAGCGAAGTTCGCGACGGCTGGGACAATGAGGAATGGGGCAGCCTGGAAGAGGATCCGGTAAGCCAAAAAAAAAAAAAACACACAGATCAGTCAGAGATAAGCTCATTTTAAAACGCCCTGCATAGTGCGAGGAGGAGGAGCAAGCGGAGCAGGAGCAACAGCAGCAACAGTTGGCTAGACAATCGATATCCTCAACGACATCGTCCAGCCAGCAACAGCAGCGACCCCTGCTGCCGCATCAGCATCAACAGCAGCTGCAGCAGCATGAGCTGAATGATCTTATCGAGCCGCTGGCTAAACTGAATTCACACATCACTTTATCGCCATCGCGACAACAGCTGCGACCAAAGGAGCTGGCTAATCTATCGAGCAGCGCCAACACCTCACCGACAACGCCGGGTGCTTTCACCAATTGCAATAACATAAGTTCGCCTACGTCACATTTGAATAATTCGACGCATAACGCCAATTGGAATAGCGATTCCTGGGCCGATGGTGAATTTGAGCCCTTTGATGAGCCGGGCTTAGGTGGGTTTGTATTATGATAAGCAGAAGTACTCTTAACCTGTCTGATATCTTAACCGTAGGCAACAGCAAACTGGATGAGGCGCGTAGAAAGCGCGAGGAGAAGAAGTTGCAGCGTCAGCGTGAACTGGAGTCGCGAAGAGCGCAACGCGCCACGGGCCCATTAAAATTGGGCGCTAAAAAGCTTTAAAAGGATTTACAGAAGCAAAAAAAACAAGCAAAAAAGCTTGCAATTGGCATTGTATATTTAATAGCTTTTATTCCAAAAAAAAGCCTAAAGTGTATGCATATATTTGTATAACTCTGTGTGTATGTGCGTCTCTCTATGTGTGTGCGAGTGTTTGTGTGTGTGCGAGTGTGCATTGAATGCCAACTCGTCGAATAAATCTCCATTTCGATTTTTTGCCCCTAGGCGCAATTAAAATTCATACTTATATACAACTTGCACGATATTATTTAAGCATTTGTCTTAAACGTCGTTAATCTAATACATAATTGTAACACACTCCTAACTAAACGAAAACTAAACAAAAAGCAAAAGCCAACCGCTAGCTAGTAAATTATTTCCAATTTATACTGCATTAAGCTAATAACTAAAGAATGTAAGAGAAAGAAAGTTTGAGGAATGATATATGTGTAGGTTCTTTCAAATACTTGAACGATTTAAATGTACAACTTGAATAGATTTTAATGTATTTTCGAAATTTGTCAAGATTTGAGCCAGCAAGCAGTTCCACCCTTCATGTATTTAAGTCTAATTGAATCAACATTTCTTTGTACAACTCTAAATGTCATAACTCCGCCTCTTCCAAATCCGTATAGTGTGCATGTGTGTGTAAGTCTGTGTGTGCATGTGTCTGTATGAGTGTGCAAATGATCCTTTAATTACTTGCTCAGCCATTTTCAGGATTAAAAACAAAAAGCATACACAAAAACAAAATGAAACGAAACGATATTAGTATTCCAGATTTTGACTTTTTAGGAGCGCTGTAAACAAATTGTAAAACCATATTTTGCTGTACGCATGCAGCAGAACTAAAAACAATTGTGAATTTTAATAAATATATATATATATATATATATATATATTGTATTTTTATATAGTACCTAAACACAATAAACAACAAAAAAAAAACAAAATTAAAAAAATAACTGCAAGCAATTACGAAACGAAATAATTTGTAAGCTTTTTCATATAACAATTTATACGTAGTAAAAATTGCACCTGTTATTGCCTATGTTGCTATATAGGAACAATTTACCGAAAAAAAAACAACCCAAATTCAAACAAAGACATCGTCTTTTTTTTTGGTAAATATTTTTAAATGTGAATTTTCCCACTAACAGCACCAAGCGCAAGCCATTTTTTGCATGTCAAACTTACATTCAAGAAAAAATAAAATACCTTACCTTACCTTATATATATATATAAAAGCCTGTATATACATGACATATATATATATATATACATAACATATACGCCGATTTTTTCTAATACCTCAATATCAGTGTACAATTTTTCCATATATATTTTTGAATACCCAAAAAAATCAACCAATAACCAGAAATTAAAAACTAAAATCATGAAAATAATGAAAAAATGTTGAATTTTGAATAACATAAAGAAAATCTGATTGTTGTCGCCGCCTCATCAGTTGTAAATTGCAATTTAACTAGCAAAAAAAAAAAACAGAAACGTATTGCTAATTAGTTCTAGACACCGAGTATTTGTGGCATTCATTTTAAATAATATTTCTAGGAAATACAATTTTCGAGCAACATAAAAATTAGTGAATGAAATTTATAAACAAAAAAAAAACAAAAAAAAAAAGAAACAACAAAAAACAAAGAACGAAAAACTAACAAAACATGAAAATTCATTGTTTAGACAAATTTTTAAGACTGCAAAGAAATTCATTGAAAGTGGTAATGATAAAGTAAAAAACAAAAAGAAAACAAAACAAAATTAACATTATTTAGTACTAATCATCAGTAAAAATAAATTTTGAAACATTTAACACATAAATGATGGCAGTTTTTGTAATTATTCTTATTTTATAGATAATGTATATAAAATAAATTAATTAAAGGTTAGGCTAGTGTTGCTTTTCTTAGGTTAGGTTAGAATCGATTTTATAGGTTAGGTTACAATCAATTTTCTAGGATAGCTTAGAAATAATTTTCTATGTTAGTTTAGAGTCAGTTTTCTATTTGCCTCTCTAGGTTAGGTTGGATCATTTTTTTTAGGTAAGGTTAAAGTCAATTTTCTAGGTAGGTTAGAATCGATTTTATGGGTTAGGTTAGTGTTGCTTTTCTAGGATAGGTTAGAATCGATTTTATAGGTTAGGTTACAGTCAATTTCCTAGGACAGCTTAGAAATGATTTTCTATGTTAGCTTAGAGTCAGTTTTCTATTTCCCTCTCTAGGTTAGGTTGGATCATTTTTTCGAGGTTAGGTTAAAGTCAATTTTCTAGGTAGGTTAGAATCGATTTTATGGGTTAGGTTAGTGTTGCATTTCTAGGTTAGGTTAGAATCGATTTTCTAGGTTTGACTGCAGTCAATTTTCTAGGTAATGTTTGAGTAATTTTCTAGTCGTTTTTCTAGCTTTAGCTTAGAGTAGATTTTCAAGGATAGAGTTTAAAGTGATTTTTTTAGGCTAGGTTAGATTATATTTTCTAGGTTACGTTAGATTTGATTTTTAGTTAGTCTACAGTCGTTTCTGTAAGTTAGGTTGGAGTCTAATTAGAGGTTAGGCATCTTATATAATAAAGGTATAAATGAGAACAAATACAATTGCGAATGGGCTTAGACAGTTCTAAGAGCTGATTTGGAAATATTTTAGAAGACTTTGCTTATCAGTAAAATATAGCTTATTATGCGAGATATTGTGTGAAATTTATTATTATATTATTATAATTGATCTATAGTTTAGACAGTAGACCCGAAAAATTGAGAAAATTTGTTTGTTCATAAATGAAATTAGAAAAAGTCTGCGTTTGAGCCGGAACAGCTCCAATATGTGCTTTGAGAAAAGGTTTTGCGCCGTTTTTAGGATCCAGGCATAAGCTGAGCAGGTGCCCCATGAGTTCTTATCTGGTAAATACATTGAAATGGGCTTACCCACGACTCAACAAAGTTCTGGAATGCGTTTCTTAATGGGTTTTTATATTTTCTATATATATATACTATATAGTAAATTGGTATGTGGCGTTGCCAGAATCAAGTGTGTTTTGTATTTTTGTTTTTTATGGATTGGCACTTCAGTATAGTCTTTTGTTCAGACACGCCTCAATGCAAATGGTCCGGCAATTCTGGAAATTGGTTTAACAACTGTTTCGCATTGTTTGCTAATTGCAACAATTAAACCAATGGCATTAACCGCTTGGTGTATTGTATTTAAATGTCTGTTTGGACAGCTGTTTTGTTAGAGCCTCAAGGACTACAAAGATAGAGCTAAAGAAGTGCTCCATAGATCACCCAGCTTGCTTAAAGATATTATCGGCATGTTCAAATGCAATTAACAAAACTAACATGTGTTTCTTTATTTCAACTAAAAATAATCAAGTTTTTTGTGTGTTCTTCGAATTGATCAATAAGCACGCATATTCCCATCTGGAATCCACTTCTATAAAACTGCTTTCAAATAAACAACCATAAAATTGAGATTTAACTTAAAATCTAGCAAAATATCTAAAGCATACTTTTTGGGCACCTGCCGAAACTGGAAACTTTAGTAGCTTCTGAAGAACCCTTATATCATAAAATATCAGGCTGTAAAAAGTTTAAGCACGATCATAAGGGCGACTAGTAACTATTTTGATTCCATATTAAGTTTATAATCCATGTGGAACTTACAGAAACTCAACGCGAAAGAAATGGTATAAAACAGAAAATGGTTGTTTTAGGGATTATTATTGTAGGGGTAATTGGGAGCTATGCGTAAAATATATACCTGATTCATACAAATATGTGAGCTGAAGAAGAAAACACAAAGCAAAACAGGTAAGATTGCGCTAGTCGAAAGTGCCCGACTAGGGGATACCCTGAACCTTTTTTTGCCAACACCAAAGGTAGCTGGCGCAAGGATGAGGCGGGGGAGGCGGTGGTTGTAAAATTAAAGATACTTGATATGTATAGACTATTCTAGAAGAACTCTACCCATTAAAACCTCAAAAACATGATTTTTATATCTATATTTATCGATTGTTTGGGAATTGAACTAGTTATTGGATCTACGTTTCAAATTTCAAGCTTCGAATCATCCAAATATACATTTTCACTTCAGCTTATGCCTAAAATTAAGTCAGAATTTATTTTAATGATCAGAGTACAAGCGTTATAATATTTTCAAAAGTTTAAATACGATGTTGAAATGTGCGTCTATATATCAAAGTATAAAGCTATGCCTTTCATTATATGTTAAATTTGGGGAGCTGAGATGTGAGGTTTCCAACTATGACATTCAAGCTAGGGTTAGAAATCGATTTATCGATTTTGTCAGATAGATGTGCTGGGGTGAGGAATGTTAAAAATAAGTTGAAATATTTATAGGGAGTGGGTTATATTAAGATTCTTATCGACTTGCACTCACATAGACGCTTATCCATAAAATTTTGACTACATAATTTTTATACCACAGCTTCTTTAGACACTGAGCTCGACATAGATGGATGTTCGAGTAAATATATATATATATAAATTGGGTTCCGATATGCCCACGTTTACTTCAATATACCTCAATTTTTCTGTTTTTTACACATTTTAAAATCGGCACAGATTATTATTATAGACTGAAGACCGATAATAAGGGCAATTGGCAAGTGCCGTGTCCGCAGCTTAAGAGCGTCTACATATATACGAGTATATTTCAATTATTACAGATCGTTTCACGCCGTCACGCCATTCGGTGGAGGCGCTCCACTTACTTATTTATAGGTACGACCAGGCCAAGCCGCAAACTGTGCTAATTTGATTGGCTGCATTTCTCACGCGCTCGTTTCGGCTGCACTTGAATTTGTTGGAGCTGCCCTTGCCATGAGTCAATCACTCAGCAGCAAGCCACACCACGTCGCTCTTACTTGTGCGGGCAACAACAATTTGGAGTTAGCAGTCGACTGTAGACGACTAGCAAATACCCTGTGCCTAGTTGTAGCAAAAGCGGGCAGCGGCTGTGCTTCTTCCTCATGTCCCGAAGCCGTCGCTAAGTTTAACAGCTGCGTTTTTAGCTCATTTTCGTTTAAC